GAGTAGAAATAATCGCACACCTACATAATACCAGCCGTGCTGGAAACACCGCGCCACCTTATGTGAGTCGCCCACGTAAATGTGCCTCGGGAAAAGGGTATGCTATCATGTCCAGCTAACCCGTATAATATGCCCGGACGTCAAGCCTTAGCAACAATGGTCCGGGCACTCATAAACGTGTAAGGTGATCTGGTCCAATTGTTTAAGCCACGAAACCAAACATATCCACGACACGCTACCAAGCTTTGTCTGGTAAAGCTCACAGCCGTACAACAGTACCGGTAACTGCACTGTACTACGGAAATCGTCACCGAATATGTTTGTGCCACATTTACTGTTTCTCTGATATCGGACGCCTGTTGCCAGTATTTGCCATATTCCTCACAAGTATACCGTGACTGAAATAGTTTCGGCCTATGGGATCATTTGTGATATCATGAAACTGTTTTAATTGCATATATAGAAGAGCATAAAGCTATAAAATGCTCCATGGATAGATGAGCTGTGTATAGGTATTCCTTCTACGCATTGCTAAGTTGGCAAATGTTGGACTATCATAAAGGCAATGGGTCAAGCGGCCCACAATGTCAATCGTAAATCAGCTAACAATTGTTTATCGAGGTCGTTTGCCGACGAACACACAATTGGAAGGAACAGAATTGTTTATAGTTGTTACGTGAGGAGGATCACGACTTGGCTAGACTGTAGGCTGACCCGCCGCTATGACAGATACGATGTCCCGTACAAAGTCCCAGAGTACATACTGGTCAGGAAGTCCACGTCTGTTCTTCAACTTAAAAATCCATAGTTACCAGTTATAAACAGTCTCTTCAGAGGGACTGTGCTAATATTTAGAATTACGTCGATATACTATAGAATCGTGGAAACAATGACATTTGAATAAAGTTATTATACTACAATGTAAATATTACAGAAGTGTATTCTGGACATTTTACGCCAATATCGTCATAGAAACATGGAAGTCGGTGTACAAAGCTAAGGTTGAAAGGTTAACCCAGGCTTAACCATTGTTATAAATACTTGTATAATATATGCATTGAACTATGCTATGCCTTTCAACTTTGGTCGGATGAGGGCGCATGTATTTTGTCGTTCATATAATCGGTGTAATCGATGTATTCGGTGAGTGACAAGCATAATCGAAAATGAAAATATTCAGAATCTGCCAACTGTTATTTTGTTATGCACTTAGTCGATATAAAGATTTGGCCGTTAAAAAATGATTCGAGAATCACCTAGCCTGACATGTAGGCGTGAGTAGGCCCTCGCCGGCAGAACGGCATCATACCTCACTGTGTTGGGTTTGGAGCACCGCGGAAGGCGAAACTCACGCGACATCGTCAGGCTAGGGATCACCAGAATATTCTCCTGGAAAAAGTTTGTTATACATATGAATACAGTTAAGACGGCACTATCACCATTGGTTACTACGGTGGAAACATCTCCACGTATCTAACATATCAGGCTTGCTTATTTTTTGTTGTTTTGTTCTATAATTCGCCCGCTGTGGCGAGCATGAATGAATCCTTCTCATCCTATCAATAACAAAAGGCAAAGGGCGACATTGTCAAACCCAAATCGTCGACGTATAGTCAACGTATTTTGTACAAATGAGTGACAGTAAGATGAATTTTGATGGTGTGACATGCAGATATACTGCGCTGGGGGACATTTCACAAATATAACTGATTTGCTTAAAACAAAAAAATCTTAAATCTAGGCATTATGCTATGCATATAGTGTTTCTACTTTACGCGGTTGTGTACATCAAACACATATACCATGCTAGTTTACGGACGGCAACCCCAGTTAAGTCGCCAGGCGTCACATACTACTAATTAAGCAATATTTGAATATTGCGAAACAATAATTTCATCCAATTTATCGATTTACAAAAGTCATTACAAAATCACAGGAAATGCCGTCGGTGAGTGGCCCATTAACCGTATTTTCCAACCCCACCCAGCCGTAAGAAGACAGTCGGATTTTATCAATAATTCCCAAATTTCACCGCAAATTCAGAGCGATGAAATTTCAAAGAGCTCCAGTTTTCACGATTTTCAGAACAATCTGTGTAACGTAATCGCAGTTCGACTCGGAGTTGAATTAATATCAATCTGCGATACTCTGTGAATTGGTTTTTATTCGCCATTACTCTCAACAGACTAGAAGAAAATGACAAACGAACACTTTTTCGTATTTCAAGACACTGTTCAAAACAGAACAGTGGTGTTGTGTTGTGTCGCGACAACAAGAGAGTCTTTACAAACGCCAACAGCGAAGGGGCTACCAGATCAACTACGTTGGTGACGTCGGTGTAGAACAATCGTCTTGTTGGTGAAACACTATCACAAGCGGGCTTGTAAGACGCCGTTTTCAGTCACATACCGCCATACACAGACCAGAGAGAACAACAAAAGACTAGTGTTTGTATCGAGGATACATTGTGATCTACCTTTCGCGTGGAATGTTGTTTCCATGATGTGGAAGAACGTCGCAATACTGTAGATTCACATTAAAAAAGCCAGACTCAATCTGATTAAAATCCGAAATAGTAAAAAGGGGACTTATAATTTCACTTCGAGTCCATGCGCACCTGTATCTCAGATATATATATATAGACCGATTTCATGTATGTCTACTAAACATAATGGGTTCTAATGCACGTAATTGTTTTTTTCAGATCGGATTGTGAATTTTGTTTTAACAAATGCTGTTCTAGGGTCACAATTCTGACATTCTTTGAACGCTCAAATTCAAATTTTACACGTACATGTACATCACATTTCATTTCATCCTCCTTCCCAGAGATCCTCGCGGCGAGAACACCGAAAGTACTAGTATCTCTGCAACCACACAAGGCCATTTTATGGTGAAATGCCACAAGATTTTTTCTACGCGTATTTTTGGCGTGTTATTGTTATTAAAGGGCTCTCGTGTTGATTTCCTCAAACTAGTAAACATGTTTTAAAATATGTTATCGATAGCTGATAAGATTTTTTCTTGAACGCACTGAAAACGGTGAAATTTTACAAAAGAAAATAATTTCATCGCGGAATAACGGTTACTAATGTGTTACTCGGTTCATCAAGTTGAACGCCCTGTCGATTTCCAGGCGACGAAATATAGTATTTTGTAAAAAAACGACAGCGCTCGTGGTCTTGACAGCTAACTCGTCCTATTGCCACGGAAAGTTAAAAAGTGAGCTTTTCACTTGAAAACTGTCAAAATCTACAAAATCTACAAATCGAACACCTGCATGGCAATGATTTGGTGAGCGTCTTTGAAAGTAGTGCCACTGTGACACATCGACCTGACCAATCCGTTGATTGACATTCTTTGAATAAGCATTCAAGTATAAAATCGCATGGTGACAGAGATATATTCGTAGAAATATAACTCCAGGGAGATTGACCTTATATCATACGTAATCACTTACATGTTTCATGATTCAATTCAAGTTGACTATTTTAGTGTTAAAAATTCATCAAAATAAAGCATTTCCGCCAGTTGGCCATTTTAGTGTTAAAAATTCATCAAAATCAAGCATTTCCGCCATTCCGGGTCTGGACCTCGTTCTTGCATGGATTACTAGTATTTCATTCAAACTTGGTATCATAATGTCTAATGAACATAATGGGTCCTTGATGCACATTATTATTTTTCCAAGATTTCATTCAAATGGCCGTTCTGTTATTAACAAATGTTGTTTTTTACAGCCATATTGCTAACATGGCTGGACTGATCATGTTCAAACTTTACACATGTATATCATGTAACACATTTGCACATGCATTTGTTTCAGAATCTGATTCACTAATTCAAGATGGCCGATCGTCATTTTCGTGCTATAAATACATTATGAATGTTATGGACAGAATAAAGGAAGAAATCACACAGAAAAACTGGCCTACTTTGTATCATGTCTTTCACATGAGTTTAAATAATTATTTGGCACTAATGTTGACAGTCACTACAAACTGGAAGGAGACTTGTCATTGACAATGAAAATGGGAATTAAAATAGTTGTGGTGAAATGGCGAAGTTCACAATTTATACGCATTGTTGTTTCGGACCTTGAGGCTGATCATCCCTCTAATCTTAAGTTAGTTAGAGCGCCCCCACCGACGAGCTTATATTACTAGTACACATTCGTTGTTTTGCCTCACAAGTGTCTCTATATACCGTCATTAACCCCACACTCGGTGTTTTGAAAGTTTTGATATTCCTAGCAGGATGTCGGTAGGGATGAGGGGTTAAAGTTCTTAATTTTTCAGATATAGAACCGAATTTACAGCCTGGCATTTTCTTTATATCTTTCTTTAATCACTTTTTAGCAAAACCATTGCGATTGTACTGGACGCCGTTCAAGTTTTTTTTTCCGGTGTGTTGGCAAGCTATTCAAATAACGAGCCAAACACTGACCGGATGCCCCTGATGATGAAACGCTCTTGCTCGTGTCAGTACAAATAGGTGCCACATTGAAATTGAAACCAGAGGGCCTTGTATTGTGCCGTTCATATTTTTGGACAATGTGATAACAACTATTGTGTTGTTGTGTATTTATTTATATTATGTTTTATAGGTTCTTAAAAGGCAATATGCCAATTACTGAACAACGTGACGTCACTGCGTTGGTGTAATTACTAGTAGCCGATAACATCGCAATGCGGTGACATCTCCGTTTTCGTTGGATAGTTGCTAAAGTTCGTCTGAAAGAGAGCCGCCAACGTTCATCCGTCACCTAAACATGCCGAACCCATTTTATTGCTATATTACCCAAGATGCAATTTGATGCCGGCCGAGATATTATGACATCAAATCAACGACCGGTGAGGGGTCACATTATCGTATTTAACAAGGTAGAAGGAAGTAGGTGACGTTTAGTGTGTATGTATGTGTGCGTGCGTTTGATATATTAGCGCTTGTAAATATACAGTCAGCCGTACCGTCACAGTTTACGGACATCTCCAAGCAGAATGAGCGACTTCAGCCTATGGAGGACCGATCGTCTGCTCTGCAGATTCAACGATAGCTGTACTGGCTTTCAAAACACCGACGACTGTTTGCATTGTTGCGCCAACGTCGCACGAAAAGGAGCAACGTTTGTCGCACATCTCAGAACGGACTGGGTGGGTAAGCTTCACAATTGTGTTGACGAATTCCAGTACGACAGAAGCTACGATGGCGACAACAGGTCAAGTAAAAGAATCGCAACGCCGAAAGCGTCTTGTTTGAAACCGCCGTCGCCGATCAGAAGTCGTGACAGGCACGTTCGGTTTGCAGACGTTCTTGGACTGCGTCTGACATACGTAAAAGTGATAGAAGACATCGAGCCGTCTGTGCCGAGTGAAAGAAAAACAGAATTGCCCTCGATACTTTCCGATAATCTACGCGACCACAAATATCTAGTCAGCACCTTCCGTTGCCCTACTAAAAACCAACTTCTCACCAAGGTCCGGGATCAGGGAGTGTGCCTGGAAAACATTGTGTTGTCGTCAATGACTGCAATGGGAACAATTCGTGTCGTCAATGAAGGGTACCACAAAATCGTACGAATCAGGGCGACCAACAATGATTGGCAGTCGTACATCGACATACCGGCGACATACGTATTAAACTCGTGCAACGACTTTACTGACA